AACAGGTCTCACTTGAACCTGAAGTCATGTGAAGCTGCAAAGTGGAACGAACGAACCAAACTGGTTACAAGATTTCACAGGTGTTCTCAAGGTGCCCTGTACAAGCCTCGCTGAGTACAATTGGGTGCCACCACCAAGCCGAACTGCGCGGCCTTTTTGGATGTCTCAGGAGACTATTCGCACTGGTCAAATCCCTTGGGAATCTTGCCCATCGAAAGCTTACTGATGTTCTAATCGGTTCATGGATTTATCCTCCCAGATAACTCTGGTAGCAGTTGGCTGATTTCGCTGTATGGGAGCACGTCACACTAATGTGGCCCTTCAGAGTGAACCTCCCTCCGCTACCTAAGGTATGACCCGTTCATCCTGACACTGTAACTACGGGTCTACTCCCTGTTATTTTCAAATTTCCACCAATAACTCATGGGGAAATTGCAGAAAGGGACGGGAGGACGCAGTTTATCCTTTCTCAAAATTATTCCTTCTCAGTGATAATTCCACACGCTTCTTCCCATTCCACACTAATTTATAGACCACTCACGGGCTCAATCATGACCCCCCCCCAGATAAGACTACTTGTTGGCGACTCTTCGAGACTACGTTCATGCTTTCGTATTTGAGCGATTCAGTCGCGCGATTAGAGAATCGCTATGGTCTACGATAAAGCCCGCCCCACCGCTAATTGTTGGACCGTTGCGATCCAATCTCACTCAGTGTAGATTCGACTGTTGTAGCCGTTCAAAAACCGCCGAATGGAATCGTGCGACTGAATCGCCCGACTCGCGGAGTATAAACGTGGCGTAACCATGCCTGCCATGTGGAAAATGCAAGAAATCTGTGGCACTTGTAATGTCCCTTTTTACGAACCCAGTAGCGCTAACGAAGTGATCTTCACAAGAAAAATCCAACAGTTTATTCTCAAATTCCAATTTAGTATTCATTCAGTCAAATATTAATAAATAATTATTGATTATCGATTATTTTATATGTGGCAATATTTCATCTACACCATGTTTGACAATAAGGCGGCAGGCACGTATACACAACGGACACAAAGAAGTTCCTCATATTGACTAGACGCAATGAAAAATACCGGTATTGATCGATTTTCAAAAGGGAGGAACTTTCTGGAAAACAACGACAATACAATGAGGTCCTGAATGAAACGCCCAGGCTAGAGGGTGCCGAGGCGAAAGCTCAACGGTGAAAGCTCTCTGGTAATAATTTTGGTAAAATCGGTCAATAATCGATTAGGAGGCAGCGGTAATTTGACTGATTGTCATTTCTTCTTCAATCGATGCCATTGGAGCCACCACACTGCGCTCATCTCCTTGACTGAAATAAGTGCCTTTAAAAGGGTATTTGGTTTCGTTTAAAAATTTTAAAGGTCATTTGAAAGGTTTAAAGGTCATTTAAAAGTCATTTAATGGTCAAAGGAGGGGTTATCCACAATTTCGGTGCTTTCATCGTTATTTGAATTCCAATTTGTCGACTGACACGTTTCACCGGCCAGGGACGCGCGCGGTCGCGAAGCGGTCCCGTTTAAGCTAAGTGAGCCTAAGTGAAAGAGGGAGGGGGGACCAACCACCTACGGCATTCGTTTCAAACGACGTTGATATACTTCTACAGAAGGACCCTTTTAGATGCCCCCTCCAAGGCTTAGTGGTAAGAATGTGCAGGGAAAACAACCGGCTCACCTGATCGCTGGGGACGCCCCATTCTCCTTGACTTCAGTGATCTTGGGTGACTTCACTCCATTACTGTCCTGATAGAAGAGAATGAGCGTCTCAAGGTTGGGAACCTGAAAAATAAAGAAATATCCAAGTGGTGGGGCCATATTTGGCGGGAAAGTCACCTGTTGGGCGTGTACGCTACTTATTAACGTCTCGATCGATTCACGTCGCCCCGGATCGTAGACTATCGTATCTGGCGGCCTAAAACCAGAAAAAAATAAAAAAAATAAAAACTACAGGGTAAAAGGTGACTCATCTGGGTAGACCGAAGTGCGCGCTTACCCATTCATCATCCTCCTGATTGCGTTGTCGATAAAAGGGCTTCGTATGGGGCTACTCCATGACGAGTCGTCTGCATCTGACGAA